TTCGAAAAACCGTTCGGTTTTTCCGACGGTTTTGTTCGTTTTTTATTTCAGTTTTTTTAAATAGATTGGTTTTTCCGATTTATTTAAATAGCGAGCGTTCGTTCGTCAGTTCTAGCAAATGTTCGTCGTTTTTCTTTTTCTCGGATTAAATCCGTGATTTTTCTGATCGCGATTTCTGATCCGATTTTCGTTTTAGTATAACTTTTTGCTCGTTTATCGGAATCAGGCGATTCAAGCGCCTGAAGTTTCATCTCGAAACCCTCTATCCGTTTAACCAACTTAAACAAGTTTTTGCCACTGTAAAAATTGCCCTAGATTCAGAATAGTAAACGAAGCATGTTTCTTTTGTCGTTTGACTTTCGTTGCTTCGTTTGATTTGATTCTTTTTGCAAACCGGAGTTCTTAAGTTGAACCTTCTGGTTAGATCTCTTATTTGAGTTTTACCTGTGCATTAGATGAATGCTTATTGTATGCTTGTTTGTTTGTCTGCGATAGAATACCCGAAGTGCGCCGCCTGTTACTTCGAATCTCTAGGTTTCGCGGATCATCAGCAAGGCAAGTAACACTTTGATCATACCTCCTACTACCCAGTTTTATTGCATTAGATCAATCCTCAAACATTGCATGATTAGGATCTAATTAAATTATGGGATGGGAAGTAGCTGAGGTAGTACCTATTACCTGTTATATTATCAAACCTTTGGGAGTTACTTCTACTTTTGCTTACTATTGCTATGCTATGCTAGTAGACGTGGATTGGATGAGTGATATCCATGACAGATGTGAGCTTGTTAATTTAATGGTTTATGTAAGGTGGCAACTTAAACACACATCTGGGTGAATTGAGGTACCTGGGTATTCCAGGATTGCCTGTTTTTCTTTATGGACCGCCACCCAGGCCCAAAGGGATCATGAGATTTTTCATACTAGAAACTTCCGTGTGCAGCCACAAGCTATTATGGGCTCTAGCATAGTTGATTAAGTCGTGCGAACTCTTACAGGATAGACTAGCAGATGTGGGCGAAAGTAGGTGTAACGGTTTATCCATCGTAAGGTGCTAGCACTTCTGAAAGACTATGTCTCGGTCATCCGTCTTCTCAAACATCATGTAGTGCGAGAAACCAAACGGAGGCGATCGAGTCTTGTGGGCAAAAGTGCGCAAACCTCTGCAGAGTGTATAAACTAATCATGGTTCGCCGTGTCCCCGGTTATGGACATCTTGAGTATCTAGTACTTGGATTATCATGTGAATCTCAACATGTTACTCTAAACATTTAATTTTGTTGGGTTTTGTTAATGATGATGCTTAATTGGGATTGAGGATGCTGTCAACCATTCTCAATGTTTAACAACTACCCTGATAGTTAAATAAAATGTATTCCTTTGCAGTAGGGAAAAATCAGTTTTACGCAAAACAGTAACCATAGAGCTTTCCACCAGCCAAATATGCATATAGTATAGCTGTTTCATTTCATTACTCTCTATGTGTTACCTTGCCAGCATATTCCATGTGCTGACCCGTTTCGGGCTGCAACGTTAATGTTGCAGACTTTTCAGACGACGATTAAGGAGTTTTTAGGTCGTGGTTCTATACTCAGTGATGCCGTTAGAGTTGATGGACTCACTTATCTTCCAAGCCTTCCACTGTTATCGTTATTAGATGGCCTTAAGCCATATTTATTGTAATAAGTTCTCTATTAAGACACTCGATGTAATAAGTGTGTGATTGTTACTCTGTTATAAATCCTTCAAGTACTGTGTGGTGTCAGCATTACTGATCCAGGGATGACACCTGAGCACAGAGATCAGACTGTTTGAGGTCTGGTCGCTACATTATATGTCTTTTAGTTTACCTATCTCACAGGTTCTCATACAGCTTTAGCACCTTGAGGAGATTTGAAAACTGTCAGATCTTGGAGATATTTCTACTTGTTGATGCTTAAGAAAAATGTTCGCCATTTGTTGACTTCTTTCCACTTCTCCATTACAAGTTCGAATTGTTTACTACTGTGGGTTGTTTTTTATGTTTATGGGGTACTTGCTTTAGATGAGAACAATGTTGATTGCTCTTCTGTAAACTGAATCTCACAAATCCTAGCCAAGTTTTAATACATTGATAAAATTTTAGATTCTTTACAAAAATCATGGTTAAGGATACTCCATTGTTACCACTTCTTTAGGGGTTTCTTGTTTCCAAAAAAACATTTTTTTGTAATAAATTTCTTAGAATAAAGTACTAATTTCATCTATAATATTTTCACCCGAAGTAAACAAGTGAGTATATCCACACGGAAATTTGTGAAAGAGAACTGAGTTGTGGGAGGCTGGTCACAATGGGCAAGAACATAAACTAGTAACTTACACACTTCCCTAGACTATGTTATTACCTCCATAGTGGGTAGGAACATCTATGTAGTGTCATGCAATGATGTATTTATTAGGTTATAGACTCATTGTTTCTTGGAGTGTGTGATGTTCCGGTAACTTAGCTAGTTACCACAAGCACCTCTCTCTTCATTAAATATGTGCCACATAAGCAAAGTTGTATTGAAGTGTGTGATGTTACTCCTAAGTTCCTCCCCATTGTGACCAGCCGGAGAGCAGTAAGACCTTTGTCGCATTAATGACACATTTACAATCATAATTCTGTTTGCGTTTTTTTTTACGAAAGGAGCCTAGGCTCCCAATTTCGTTGCATGAAATTGATAATGCGGAACGCCCAAGAAGTGAACGAACGTTTAATGCAGTGCATCACCTGGCCGTGAACCTGATCAGTCGAATAACCTCACTAAGGAGATGCCCACAACAGTTTAACATACGACAACATCGCCAGAACTATTGGACACCAGCAACCCCTAAGCATAAAGCATACAGAAAGAAGTAACCGATCAAAAACCACACAGTAAAACTACCATAGGGGCCCAGCCTTGCTTTCTACGAAAATACTCCGCAGCCTCATGAGAAAGAAGTTTTATGCACATGTCATTCATGCAACACTGCTTCAACTACAAGTAGAAGAAGTTTGTGGAATTTTCGGGAATCTTAGAACTATGAAGCTTTATGCACAATGGACCTTCACTGTACTCCAGCATGATTCAGCAGTGGAAGGTAGATCATAGGTAATTCCTTGCCTTGAGGACCGACTATTTCTACATCCCTTCCAGATTCCTCCCAATCCTACGCATTTAGAGGAACGCCTTGACCGGCACAGAATGCTTCTCAATCCTACCATTGTTGAGTAAGTTTGCACGAGAAATTGTCACTAGCAACATATGCAAAGTCTGCTATATAGTGGTGACTCACCAACCATGATTCTTCGTGTTTAATACCATTGGCTCATAGTGAATTCATCACAACAAAGAAGAAAATGTGCAAGGCCCTACAAATCCTACGAGTCATTGCCCTCCCCACGCATGCTGCTCATCGTTTACATCATACTAGCGTTATGACTTTACACGTTTGCATATGCTCTTAGCTGTGGTAAAACCAGATCCGGCACCAGCGGATTGAATGGCAAGAGAGTACATTTGGAGCTCTAGTTGTACATTAAGTATGGCATCATTGTTTTCTTCCCCTATAGCACTCATCTTTTCTAGACCAAGGAGTGGTGAGTCGGTTCAATACAAAATAATGTTAAGCAAGACCATACTTTTGCACCCAAAGAAAAAGTCCAAGCTGCAATTATTGAACTGATTCTTCAGCTTCGTTTTAGCCTCCAATATATGCATCCCTGATTCTATGCAGCCTGCCAGCCACCTCCTCCATGCTGATGCGTTCACTTGGAAAGGACTTGGTGCAGCAAAGGCCAACATTCAGCACAGAAAGTAAACAATGCACTCCATTATCCTCCGCCGATGGAGCTTCTTCGCAAAGGTCCAACTCTTGTACCAGTTGTGGATCGACGATCTGCATCATCTTCTCAGGGAAGTTTACTCTGCAAACTTTGCAATGCTTAATCCGTCCTTGAACATGCCATCTGTTGGGCTCTTTCGTATGAATATTTCAAGGAGAACGACCCCAAAGCTGTAAACATCGGCAGCGGTAGAAACTTGACCACCCGCTCCATATTCTGTAGATTGCACATATGGAGGGATCAGTTCGATCTCACACTTCCAAGTAAAACAGGAAGAAAACCACAGCGTAAAAAAAATAGAAAAATACCTGGAGCAACATATCCTATGGTTCCCCTGATTGCAACCGAAGAAACTGATGTCGAGTCACCAAAGGATGATGAGACTTGCAACCTTGCGAGTCCAAAGTCTCCAACATGAGCTACCATGTCATTATCCAGAAGAATGTTGCTAGGTTTGAGATCACAATGAACAATACTCCCGTGGTGGTTATGGTGTAGGTACGCCATTGCATCTGCTACACCAACCACAATGCTTAACCTTTGAGCAAGTGAAATGTAGCTCCGTTTTAAAGAGTTGTCATTGTCTTCCGTTGAGTATAGCAAGTTATGCAAATCCCCTCCTGGCATGAACTCATACACTAGCGCCTTGAAATCATTTCCGCTAGAATCAATGCTAGAGCATGCAGTTACGATACGGACTAGATTGCGGTGTCGCACATTTCGCAAAGCATTGCACTCTGCAATGAAGCTCCTCTGTGCTCCCCTTGTCTCTAAGCAAAATACTTTCACGGCAACCACATTTTCTTCTTGAAGTATCTTCCCTCTATATACTGAACTGTATCTTCCCGTGCCAATTAAATTGGATAAAGAGAATCCATCAGTTGCTCTAACAAGATCCTTATAAGAGACTTTGGGGAATTTACCATCAAATGAGAGCGAAGAAATGGATGTTTTCAAATGGTTTTTCCTCTGCCAAAGTAATACAAAGATCACCATAGCAAGCAGTGAAAGCATGCAAGCGAGTGGGATCGCTACTTTGAGTATTACAGGTAGCCTGTGTTTAGATAAATATGAAGACATAACAGAACATGAAGGCAGGTGTAAGTTCGATGCCCCACCACAAAGGCCCTGATTTCCATCAATATGTGTGGCAGTTGCGTTCTTGAATATTCCATGTACTGGAACCTTGCCCTCAAGATGGTTGAACAACAAATCTAGTTGTTCAAGATGCTGAAGGTTCCCAATAGACGCTGGTACTGATCCAGTTAAGTTATTGTAAGACAAGTTGAGGACTTTTAGGCCAAATAGGTTGCCAAATGAAACAGGGATGTTGCCACTGAAAATATTACTGTCCAACTCAATGTCTTCCAAACTTTTGCAAGCACCCATAGTGCTTGGAATATCTCCAGATAACTTGTTGGCTGAAAGCAACAAAATCACAAGCTGCTTGGCGTTGCCTACTTCTGCAGGAAGTTGTCCATCAAGGTTGTTGGATGATAATCCAATTTCCCTTATTGTTGAAATGCTGAAGATCCCCTCTGGTACCCTACCATGAAGTTTATTACTGGAAACGCTCAGTGTTTCAAGTGATTGAAGGTTTCCCAAGCTTATCGGTATGTGCCCAATGAATTGGTTTGTGTCTAGAAGGAGTTCTATTAATTGGGATAAATTGGAAAGGGAGGAAGGTATGTTGCCTGTAAACATGTTGGTGGATAAGCTCAGTTTTTGCAAAAATTTGAAAGCTCCCAGCCAGTGTGGTACCACGCCTGTAAATCGATTGTAGTCCAATCCTAAAATGATCAGGTTGGGAAAGTTTGCTGTGCCGGAGGGAAAGTTCCCTGCCAACCGATTTTGTCCCAAAAACAGATATTGAAGATTTATGGAAAGGTTACCCAACGAATTTGGCACCTGACCTTCTAAAAGATTACTTGCTAACGAGAGACCTTGTAGCTCAGTACAGTTTGCTAAGCTACTCACAAAATCCCATTCTTGCTTGTTGCGTGCTTGGACCTTATTCGTCTCAATATTTAACTTGACAAGCTTGGAGAGTCTGCCAATGGAGCTAGGCACAACCCCGGTAAAATTATTGGTCGATATATCCAAGACACGTAGACTGGATGCATTTACGAATGAATGGGGGAGTTTCCCATGAAAAAGGTTCTGGGCTAACGAAAGTATCTGGAGATTAGGCAGAGAGTTACCGAGATCGGAAGGTACCTCGCCACTTAACATATTCGTGTTAAGCCCGAGGCCGGTGAGACTAGAAAGATTGAGGATGGCTGGTGGAAACATGCCTGCCAACAGATTACTACCCAGATAAAGAATCTCCAGCCCGCCCAACTCTGCAAGCTCGTCAGGGATGCGGCCTTCGATACGATTAAACGCACAGCTGAGCTTCCTCAGTGCTGTGGCATTGGCGATGGAAGGAGGGATGGTTCCACCAATGTCATTAGTTGAAAGCTGCAGCTGCTGGAGGTTTGGAGGGAGGTCCGCAGGGATTTGGCCATCCAGACCATTGTTGTTGAGCCAGAGGACCTTGAGGCTGGAACAGTTTGCAAGGCTGGTGGGATGCTGCCCTGCAGAGTGTTGTTGCTCACGAAGAGGGTCTGGAGGCGACGAAGGCGGCCGAGGGACGAGGGGATCTCCCCTGTGAAAGTGTTCGTCGGCAGGGCTAGATTTCTGAGGAACGTCAGGTTCCCGAGCCATGGAGAGATGTGCCCCGCTAAACCCAGGTTCGCTAGGTGAAGAGAGACGACGCGGCGCGGGTCCCTGGTCCTGCAGGAGACGCCTTCCCAGTCGCAGAGGTGGGTGCTCTCGTTCCAGGACGCCAGGGCTCGCTCCGGGTCAAGGACGATGGCCTTCTTGAACTCAAGCAGGGAGAGCCAGTCCGTTTGGTTACTGTGAGTGGAGGTGGTGACGGCTTGTATAGTAGCACTTGCCGCTGCTATGAGCACCAGGAGAAACTGCCCAATCACAGCATCCTTCATTGTGTTATACTCTGGCCGAATCTACATAGCAGAGGGAATTTAGATGGTCAGGAAACGTTGGCCACATGCGTTTCAACTAGGAGGGTGAATTTTTGTATGTTGCTTACCTGAAAAATTATTTAGAGTCGTCTCTTTTCTCAAGGTTCTTGGGCACGATTCGAATAGGTGAAACCTTGGCTACTGCACGTAGATCATCAGAGTTCTCTTCACATCCCTATGTAGAGTAGAAGAGGAGAACATGAATGATGTATGCAGCATGTGAGAAGCAAAAGCTAGATGAATGACACGAACAGATGCTTAAACAAGTGAGGCTTACTTGCTTGCTTACTGCTGCCTTGGTCGCCACCGGCGGTGCCGTGCGTTGCAGCAAAACTGGTCAGCAGCCGGCAACGATGGGGTGAGCAGAGTCTGAGTGCCCATGGCCATGGGTTCTCTCGTTTTTATAGGGCTTCACTGTCTCTAGCTACTAACTAGTAAGTCAAGGCCACTCTATTCAAAACTCATTCGGATCCGCTGCTTTCCATGCTAGTTGACTCCAGGTTCGTCGTCACTTGCCCATGGACTCGTGGAGGGGTTGGCGCACCGGAATGCTGATCATTTTATTCGCAATCTGCCGGCCGGCCGGCCGGCTAGTCAAGATGCCTTGGCAGCCAAGAAATTTCGACTATACTGTCCAATGATTCCTGCAAGTATATATTAAACTAGAGCTCCTACTCAATCACCTGGATAGGGACGCCGGGATCTCCTTTCCCACACCCTTCTTCATGCAGGTCTTTAAGGTGGCTGCATGGAACATCTCGAGTCAAAGAAACACAAAGTTTTTGACAATGTAATCCTAGTCTGGACTCTTGAAAATTATATTTAAAAAAGGATATTTATATTCTCTCCGTTTGGCTTGGGTCCAAGTTCTGTACTCCACTCCCCCTTGATGTATATTTCCAATATATCTTGTAGATAACACCTCTGTTTCATTGAACAAATTTATACAGTTCTCCTGGAGGCATCACTCTCGATAATGTGCACGCAAAAAATTGGTTAGACAGGGTCACCAAAATCTTCTTAATTTGGCAAAGTGACACAGTTTTACACAGATTTCCACAAGGGACAATTGTTTCTTCACATGTGCCTCATGGCTCACAACAAAACTGGACCTGCAAATACAGCAATTTCTAGTATACAAAGCCCAAAGGACAGCCAAACTAGGCCCTAAGCCAGTAAAACGCCATCCAAAAGTATCATTTTCCCCACTAAAATTAACCCACAGGCTTTCTTTCCCCACAAAACTATCCAGCATGCAAATGCACGCAGCATTCCTTCATTGTGGGCTCTTTGTTTTCTCATCCGAGTAACCAGCAGCCCTCCCTGTCCTGCCTATCAAGACCGAGTCCGGCGCTGGGCCCTCGTATTCTCCAGTCATACCACGGTAGGACCGGGCCTTGAGGTATTCGATTGCAGACTTCGCACCTCCTTGGTAAAGAACTGCGTCGCTATTTTGGTTTCGGGTGCTTAGGGCCTTCTCCGTTAGCTCGGCCAGTGCAAGTGATGTTTCTGAATGCTCCTCGTTTTCTGTGGTGCCAAATGGCGGGAAAACACGTGTGATTTAGAAGAAGAAAAACGCATGAATCACGAGACCAGGACTACGAACATGCATGGAGTTTTCTACAAGGTTCCACATGAAAGATGGAACTCAATAGGTAACACACTATTGTTGCAGGAATTTCAATAGGTAAAAGAACTAGTGCACACAGTGACAGATTTATAGATCCAAGTGCATAATACCTTGAGCACAATCATCTTCCACATAGCCGCCTTTGATAAAAGAAAAACGTGCTTCTTCACTTTTGCTTACAACTTCTGGTTTCTCTGAACTGATCAAATCCTTGAAATCCAAAAGATATTCTCCAGTCCATTCTCTTCCTCTGAAAATGTGTCACAGATCCAATAATGATGATAAAGAAGATATTCTTCAAACTTAATGCCACACGTATACTGGCGTCAATAACGACATGTACCTGCTAAAAGCTAATACAGCTTCAAATGGTGTGATAACTGGGGCTAGAAATTCTTTGCTATCCAATAAAGCAGTTTGGGCACAAGAAACATATACAAAAACTTCGCACTGCCACAGAAAAAATCTGTCAGTTAATCTACATATGAGAAGCAGAACAAACTATTAGAATTCACTAGCACCTCAGGAAAATTGGCAAGCTTAGCAGAATTAGGCCGTCCCATGACCAGTGTATAAGATTTCTTTCCAGCAGCTTTGATCAGATTTTTCATTTGCTCGACTATGTCAAGGTAACCAGCTGCATCAACAATAAATGTGCCACAGAACCACAGTTATGTGTCCACTACAGTACCAAAGTGATAAGTGTAAATACCATATGCTAAGGGAATAGTTGTAGTCAAGTTCAGTGAATGAATCTCTAATCATGAAGAAATAGGAAGTTCAACTGGAAGAAAAAACATAATCAGGGCCTGACCCGGTCAAACCACCAAAGAAAAAAAAGCATGCAGATGTCCTGTTTTGAACTGCTTCAAAGCAGTCGAATAAGCCTTTGGTCTGAACCAATCAGAGTATCAGACTGGAGCAGATCAAACCAAATTAACCCACATGCACAAGATATTTGATGCTCAACATATGGCATGTTTACCCTGAAACACTGAGGAAAGAGGTGCTAAAATCTGAAGTCTAATTCAAACAGTTCCTCAATACCACATTGCAGAGCCAAACCCAGGCTAGCTTAGATTTCCATGCTCACCTACCTAACATTGGCATAACTATTTTCAATATTAAAGGTAACAATGTACATACCAACGCCTAGAGTTCCCACCAAAATGCCAACAATATTTGCATCCTTTGCCTTCTCCACAAGGTAATATCTACAAACAGTTTGTATTATTATTAATACTACACAGATAATGTGTACGTGCATTTCAAAGGAAGATAATAGCATACATATGCTGCACAAAAATGTACCTGCGCCTAAGAATTTTCATCAGATGAGAGACATCCCTTGAGAATTGATTTGCTGCTGTGTCGTATCTAACTGCATACAAACGTTTCATTAATATTCAATTCATTTCATTAGAAAGATCTTTTCTCTTAGGAGCAAACATAAAAATAAAGGATGCTCGAATTAATGCTACCACATAATACCATACCCATGTACTGCATGCCAGGGTGCCAGGCCCATAATAAAATGCAGGAACCCACTGGCTATACTATATGTTAACAATACAAATCATTTAGCAGAAGTCATTAATACATGTCCTAAAGGTCAAACGAGCATGCTCTCCAAGTCTCCATAGTGTAGTTTTCATATTGTCATATAACTGTTTACACATGTGTCAAGGGAAGCAAACTGGATTGTACATTGATATATTATAGAGGCAAACTAGAAAACTAGACAAAACATGATTTGCATGAATTGAAGTGATTCTCCAACTAGCCATCAAATGAGGAAGAGGGAAACAGACCTATATCACATTTATTGAAGGTAAGTGCAACGTTGGCAAAAGCAGAGTTATCTTGTCCAATCCAGTATAACAAATAGTCATCCATTTTCTCATCGGTGGATATGCGCCATGTAAGGCCTCCAAGATTATACTTGCGCGTAGACCCTTCCACATTACAGCAACTGTTCACAAGTGTTGCCAAATCATCATTGTGTGCAGGCAAACCATCATTATGAGTGCTTCCATTGGATTGAGAACATTGCTCTTCTGCAGTAGAACTTGATGACGGACTCATTTCCGAACACAGAACTTCTGCATAATGGATTTCGGAATTTTGACAATCTGATTTGCATAATCCCACAGTGGCTCTTTTAAGATCGTCCAAAGCATGTGCATACTCTAACCCACATAGCACCTATTTAATAAGTCAGATCAGCAAAATACTATTGCAAGTATAAGTGATGAATATAACAATTGATAGCTCGACAAATTGAATCAGCAAATAGTAACACTGCCGGAAACATGCAGCAACAGAAAAAAAAGTAGTTAGCAGATAAATTAAACCATATGCAGGCATTACATAATTATTACCAGAAACAGGGTAATTTCATGCAGATGTAGCCATTAACGGCAACACAACAGAATGACCACAGCCAACTCAATTTGTTTTTGTTCTAACTACTCTAATTTAGAGTCATGACCTAAATCAATTTTGTGTACTTCCTTGCGTAGGAATGGCCTAATTGATATTACATTTAAGATTACCGGTAAAGTTATATTGCTCTAAATAATAAATATTTAAAACTTAGAAAGAAAATGCCTATAACCGAAAATGCCATCTTTTCTAACTTATTAATTTTATTTAATATACTTAGAAAGGGTGATTTTACTTCAGTAGGAAAGGCAAACATTTTCAGTATGATGATGTTACGTGGTTCAGAAAAAATGTGAACTCCAGAATTCAATGACAAGGACTAAATTGATGCTTATTCCATAAACCGAAGCACAAGTTTCAGCATAAGAAATAGTTTGAGGCATACAGGTGGTTTACTGATTTCTCTCGAGCAATTTAGCAACAAGCGGCAACCGTTTTCAGTATGTTGATTTTGTAGTGTAGTTTAGAGAAGTTGTGTTAACTCCAGAACTGAGAATTCAATAACAAACGAACATCTTATGCTTATTCCATATACTAAAGCACAATTTTCAGCATAAGAAATAGTTGAGGCATACAAGAACGGGTTTACTGCTTTCTCTCGAGCAATCCAGCAATGAGCGGCAACACGAACTGATGTCCAATGGTGCCTTCCCAAATACGAAGAACGCCGGCAAATTCGATGTCCTGCATTAAGATTTGTTCTTGTCAGCATACAATTTTGATATGTGAAACTAAAAGGTAATGGCTTCCAACAAACAATCATCATAATGACTGGAATTTACCATATGTTACAATTGTACAAGCGAATAAAAACGAAATATTAGTATGATAAGCGTCTCCCACTGACATCATGACCGGACATGAATGAGGAACACCTTCTATTACTATCAACCATTTCCTGCTAAATACAGAGCTGGCAATGCCTTTGCTAGACAGCAGACCATCTCTGACATGATTGCCTAGTAGTAATTATCAATGCCCCTAAAAGAACAATCTGAAGCATCCAATTGTTAATCCAACAAACACAGAAATGAACCACATACAGAGACAAAAACTCCTATTCCGAAGCAACAATCTTGTTTTCTCGACTCAGCCTGCACATTAAAACGGGGCGCAACAACTGACGAAGGGTGATGGGGGCAAAGAAGGGCTCACGGGCTCATGCAGGAGTGGCCGTAGTGGACGACGCACTGGGCGTCGATGTTGGACGCCCCCACCTCATCGACGCAGCACGAGTTGTACGCGGTGTCGGCCATCACGAACAGCTTGGCCCCGCCGCCGAGCTCCGCCCGGAGGGCCCGCGCCACCGCCGCCGCGTCCTTGAGCAGCTCGTCCGGGAACTAAAGCGCCATGAAACCGAGACAAGTAGCCAATCAAAGGGCAGCTAAAGCACCAAATTAATCTCGAGGAATGAAGGGAGAAGGGGAAATTACCTGGAGGGCGACCCTGGTGTAGGCGCGGCCCCGCAGGAACTCGGCCGTCCGCGGGATCTCGTACCTTGAGCTGATGTC